CCCCCGGGGGGCGGGGGGGGAGCCGCCCCCCCCTAGAGGGGACAGGCCCCTGCCCCATCCCCCGCCCCCCTGAGCCAGCCAGTCCCTGCCCTGGGGCCGGGTGGGAGCCGGCGCCCCCTAGAGGGGACAGGCCCCTGCCCCCATTCCCCTGCCCCCCTGAGCCAACCAGTCCCCACCTGGTGCCGGGTGGGAGCCGGCGCCCCCTAGAGGGGACAGGCCCCTGCCCCCTTCCCCGCCCCCCCGAGCCAGACAGTCCCCGCCTGGGGCCGGGTGGGAGCCGACACCCCCTAGAGGGGACAGGCCCCATGTCCCAGTCCCACCTGCTGCTTGTGTGAGCGCTGACGCCTCGCTGTCTGTCTCTCTCATCTCCCACAGCTCTCTTTAACCTGATCCCCGTGGGACTGCGCGTGGTTGCCATCCAGGGTACCAAGTCGGGGCAGTATATCGCCATGAATGCAGAGGGCTACCTCTATACCTCCGTGAGTGTCATTCCCCCCCGCCTCCGCCCGGCCCTCCCTCCTGACTAAACTGACCGTTAGTGTTAGCAGTGGGATCTAAGGGTTGTGTATGTGCCCTGGGTCCCAGCGTGGTGGAGTGGCCAATAGGGTGCATGATCCTCTTTCTTCCAGCAGGGGGCGCTGCCTGCAGGGTGGATTTAGTGGTGGGTCATGACAGTGCATCCCTAGGGAGGCAGATCAGAGCGTCCATTGGTGTTAGCGGTGGGATCACTGGGTGAGCCCTGGAGGGGCGGGCTGATCATAGCTAATGGGGTGCAATATCTGCTCTCTGCCAGTAGGTGGGGCAGTGGAGAGGGGTCCCTCCATTCTTGTCAGGTATCCCCACCCCCGCAAAACAGCCCCCCACTTTTCCCCATGTGGGGTGCTCTGGAATAGGAGTGCCCCCTCCTAACTCTGCCCCACACAATCCCCTTCTTCAGGCCCCATGGTACCAGGGCCCTTCCTCCCCCTTGGCGTATCCTCCCCCCTCCCGCCGATGCTGAATTAAATTTAGCAGCTGGCCTGATTTTTAGGGAACCCCTGGGAGAGACCAAGAAAATCCCCACCTGCAACCAGGGAGAGAGATGCACCATCAGCCATCCCCGTACGCTGTTCTGTCTGCCTGTCCCCCATGCACATCTGTCTGTCTGTCTAGGCCCAAGCACGCCTGTCTGGCCGTGTCTTTCTGACTCACTTTCCCTGTCACTCTCCATCGCACAGGTGAAGGTGATTCTCCCGCCAGGCCCCCCGCCTCTCCCCAGCCATGGTGCACTGTGGAGGTCTGCGAAAGCTGGGGAGCAGGCCACGGGCGCGCTGAGCTTTCGGTGTGGGCAGGGGATAGTGGGATGGGAGGGAAAGCAATGGTGAACGTAGCACCGTGACACCGACAGGGAAAGTAATGGTGAATGTGGTGCTGGTAGTGAAAATAATGGTGACTGTGGAGCTGATAATGAAAATAATCGTGAATGTGGTGCTGACATGGAATGTAACTGATCGTTGTGCTTATAGTGAAAATAATGGTGAATGTGGCACAGATAGTGAAAATAAGACTTAACCTGGTATGGATAGTGAAAATAACAGTGAAAGTGGAACTGATATGGAAAATAATGGTGAACCTGGTGCTGACGGTGAAAATAACTGAACATGGTGGTTCTAGTGAAAATAATGGTGAATGTGGTGCTTCTAGTGAAAATAACTGTGAGCGTGGTGCTTCTACTGAAAATAATGGCGAATGTGGCACGGATAGTGAAAATAACAGGGAACATGGTGCTGATAGTGAAACTAATGGTGATCGTTGTGCTGACAGGGAAAATAACTGTGACTGTGGTGATGATAGTCGAAATAATGGTCAACGTGGTCCTGGTAGTGAAAATCATGGTGAACGTGGCGCTGATAGTGAAAATCATGGTGAACGTGACACTGACAGGGAAAATCCATCCCCACATACCCCTTCTATCCAGCCAGCCAGCCCCATACACCCCATCTACCTAATTATCATCCAGCCCCATAGATGCCTTCCCCATCCATCCATCCATCCATCCATCCATCCATCCATCCATCCATCCATCCATTCTTTCTCCCTTCCCCATACACCCCTCTTTCTTTCTTTCTTTCTTTCTTTCTTTCTTTCTTTCTTTCTTTCTTTCTTTCTCTGAAATCACACCCCCTTCCTCCTGTGTCTCTCACACACAGATGGACTGCATAATTCACAACCCCTCAAACCCAGCTGCCCTTAACCCCCCCAGGTCTGTGGAATATTCACCTCCCTGCCGGCGAGCCAGCCCCCCGCCCCCGCTGCAGCCCGGACACCCTAGCGCAGTCAGGACACTTCGACCCTGGCCCCAAGCCGTGATGCAATAGCCGGGCTCTTCCCAAAGTTAATTGGGGTCAAAGTAGCTCAGAGCTTCCTTTCGAGGGCAGCAGGGGGCGCTCTCCCCTGGCAGGCGGGGCTGGCCCCAGGGCGGCGCTAGGGGGCGCTGTGGGGCAGGGAGCGGGGCGGGGGCAGCAGGGGGCACTCTCCCCTGGCAGGCGGGGCTGGTCCCAGGGCGGCGCTAGGGGGCGCTGGGCAGGGAGCGGGGCGGGGGGCTCAGCAGGGGGTGCTCTCCCCTGGCAGGCGGGGCTGGCCCCAGGATGGCGCTAGGGGGCACTGTGGGGCAGGGAGCGGGGCGGGGGGGCTCAGCAGGGGGCGCTCTCCCCTGGCAGTCAGCGGTGGCCCTGGTGAAACCCAGGCGTCCGAGGCAAGGCGCAGCTCTGAGACCCGTTGCCTCCCTGCTGAAAGACAAGAGCGGGGGGGGGAAGGGGGGGCACTGCCCTCTACTGCCCACAGTTGGGCATTACACCCCCCCCACACATCGTTCTTTCTTTCTTTCTCACTCACACCCCATTTCTCTCCCTCCCTCCCTCTCCCAGGCTCACTTCACCGCCGAGTGCCGGTTTAAGGAGTGCGTCTTCGAGAATTACTACGTCATGTACTCCTCCACCCTGTACCGCCAGCGCGAATCCGGCCGCTCCTGGTACCTGGGCATCAACAAAGAAGGCCAGCCCATGAAGGGAAACCGAGTCAAGAAGACCAAAGCCGCCGCCCACTTCCTGCCCAAGCTATTGGAAGGTGAGTGGGGGAAGCAGGAACAATGGGGCGGGGGCTAGGGGAAGCAATGGGGGATGTAAAATAGAGACACCCCCCCACACCCCCGGTGTCTTTCTGTGTGGTAGGGCGGCTGGAGCAGCCAATCCCGTGCTATCCCTCACTTCTTTCTTCTCCGTGTGTCTCTCTCCCTCCCCACAGTGGCCATGTACCGCGAGCCGTCACTCCATAACGTGGTGGACCCCTCGGCGCCCCAGAAATCAGATGAGGCCGGGGCCCCCAGCAAAGAGACAGCCAAGCCCCGCAAGGCGACGTAACCCCGAGGCCAGGGAGGGGCGTCGGCACCACTCCAGCAATGCCCCTCCCACGCACGTTCCCGCTCTGCCCCCTTCTGCTCAGGATGCCTGCCTACCTACATTCAACCTCTGGACCTCAGAAAAAAAATGCCATCGAGGGTGTAATACCCTTTGCCACCACTGGGAGGGCGACATTGCCCTGCTGGAGAAAGAATTAGGGGTGTGCGCGTGTATATATATATATATAGATATATATATATATGGTCTTCCATACCAGCTGAGAGCGTGATTCCCTGTTTGGCCAACAGGTGGTGACATTGGGAAAAGTTCTGATCTATGCCAGCTTCCTTTTCAGCAATAAGGGTGCGACGCCTTTTCCCACCAGCGGAGGGCGACATTGGGAAAGACTGTTAGAAAATCCCCTTCCGTTGCACAATGGACGATACGCTTTTCAACCGCTGGGTCGCATCGGGGAAGGATGTTCCAGGCGAGACCTTCCATTTGCAATAATAATAATAATAAAAAGGGTATCCTGCCCTCTTCCAGCGGAGGATGGAGACATCGGGCCATCGCCCCCTGGCGTGAGACCACCAAGTGGTGACACGGTCATGTTGGGAGAGGCTATTACATACGCCACTTTCCCTTGCAATAAAAAGACAGCGTGTTCCTCTTTCCCACCAGCAGGGGGTGACGTTGTCACACTGGGGGGGAAAGATGGGTCTATCTGCCGCCATCTAGTTGATACCCTTTCTCCCCACTAGGGGGCAACACTGTTGCATCAGGAGAGAATGTTCTAGACGTCACCTTCTCTGGCGTCATACCTTCTTCGACCACTAGGGGGTGACATTTCACAAAGGGGGGAAAAAGAGAGCCAGCCATTCCGGATTTCTTCCCCGTTTCGATGGAAATGAGACACCAATGTGGGGGGGAGGGAAAGTGAGGGGCAACCAGAAACTCCGCCCCCTTTTCCCACCAGCCCCTCCCACTCCAACATGCCAAATACTGTAGGATGTAGCCCTGCAACAACAGGAGACAAAGCCAGTCACGAGGAATCTGGATCGAGACTCCAGGACAATCGCGCGGGGGGGGGGGGGGACGAGATACATGCTGGGGGGGGGAGTCAATGCTTGATGGACACCTGTTGTATTTTATTGTTTAGTGGCGGAGGGAGGGGGGAATATGTGTGGATGGAGGGTGGGGGGTCAAAGCTACTTTCTGTTCCCCTTAGGCCAGGCGTTGGCCGAGGTTTTTAATTCTCTGACTCGGGTCCTCTGCCATGTGTCGCCTGCCTCCCAGAACCGGGGAGAGAACCCAGGAGTCCTGGCTCCCAGCCCCCCCTGCTCTAACCCACCAGCCCCCACTCCCCTCCCAGAGCCGTGGAGAGAACCTAGGAGTCCTGGCTCCCAGCCCCCCCTGCTCTGACCCACCAGCCCCCACTTCCCTCTCAGAGCTGGGGAGAGAACCCAGGCGTCCTGGCTCCCAATTCTCCACACCTCTAATCAACAGACCCTGCACTCCTCCCAGAGTTGGTGATGGAACCCAGGAGTCCGGATTCCCGGCCCACCCATCCCCCACTCCTGCTATAACCCACTGCACCCCATTCCCTTCCTAAAGTCAGGACTCCTGGGTTCTCTCCCCGGTTCTGGGAGGGGAGTGGGGGCTGGTGGATTATAGCGGGGGGGCTGGGAGCCAGGACTCCTGGGTTCTCTCCCTGGCTGTGGAAGGGGAGTGGGGGCTGGTGGGTTAGAGCAGGGGGGCTGGGAGCCAGGACTCCTGGGTTCCCTCCCCGGTTCAATATTTTCCCAGCCATGACGGGAGGAGCGTCACCTGGCTACACCCCGCTAGCCAATCTGGCCACCAGCCATATCCGCGATAACTACCTACAGTCCCCCGCCGCCCCGGGTGGGGTGGGGTGGGGTGGAAGAGAGAGCCATAGCTGCAGGGGGGGGTCTCCCATCCCTTCCCCTCTCCCCTTGACAGGCGATAACAGGGGTTTGGAAGAACTCAGGAATATTGGGGGGGCCTCTGCCCCCCTCCCAGGGCAATTGCCCCTCTTAAGGGCTGGGTGGAAGGTCCGTGGGGAGGGGGGGTCTACAGGGAGTCCACAAAGTGGCGGGGGGGTCCCGTGACATACAGGAGCGGTTGTGAGTCCGTCTAGTATGCGAGAGGGAAGGGCGGGGGATGGAGCAGCCAGCAGGGGGCAGCAAATACAGAGACACACACAGACACACGCAGACACACACACACACAGAGACACAGAGAGAGACAGAGACACGCAGACACACACACACACAGAGACAGACACACACACAGACACGCAGAGAGACACACACAGAGACATGCAGACACACACACACACACAGGACCACAAAAGAGAGACAGAGACACGCAGACACACACACACAGAGACACAGACACACACACAGACACGCAGAGAGACACACACACAGACACGCAGAGAGACACACACAGTGGCCTCTATCGTCTCCCTTTCACTGGTGCCTGGGGGGGAGTCAGCAGGGGGCGCTCTCCCCTGGCAGGCGGGGCTGGTCAGAGGTCGGCGCTAGGGGGCGCTGTGGGGCAGGGAGCGGGGCGGGGCAGCAGGGGGCGCTCTCCCCTGGCAGGCGGGGCTGGTCACAGGGCGGCGCTAGGGGGCGCTGTGGGGCAGGGAGCGGGGCGGGGCAGCAGGGGGCGCTCTCCCCTGGCAGGCGGGGCTGGTCACAGGGCGGCGCTAGGGGCCGCTGTGGGGCAGGGAGCGGGGCGGGGCAGCAGGGGG